ATACACTCCTTGATATGTTGGTTGACTTGGCCTTTGGTAAGAAGTTTGCATTGGAGCTTGATATTGAAACCCCGGAGGTTTCCTATCCGTTGGAGAAGACCAAAGAAAGTTCGGGTGACTACCCCATCCTGGATTATACTTCAAGCTATAAGGGTTGTTTCCTCGAGATTGACCTCCAACAAAGTTGGCTTGCTTGAATTGTATAGAAGCTTCAATCATAGAATTGCATTCTTCCATATTATGACTCGAGTCACCGTACCAATCACACTTCATAAGTTGCTTCCCATTGCCCTTCATTGACGATGCACCTTGATCTATTTTCTTGGAAAGTTCTTGAATATGGTCCAATAGAGACGATGGTTCTTTAATCTTCAATAAACTTCCCTTTGATATGCTCTTGCTTCTTCTTCTGTCACCCCAATCATAGCTATTAAGGGCCATCTATTCGATTAATTGTTGAAGTTCTCTGTGGCACCTCCACTAGCCGCATCAATGACGCTCCGTGATTCCTTTGTTAACCCATTATAAAAGCTTTCAACGTGTAACCAATTGGCTATACCATGGTGAGGACACTTGAGTAGGAGAGATGTAAATATTTTCCATGCTTCAAACTATGGCTCATCCTTCTCTTGACAGAACATAGTGATCTCACTTCTCATCAAAGTCGTATTAGAAGGTGGAATGCACCTTGCAAAGAACTTGTTGCATAGATCATCCCATGAGGTGATTGAGTGATGTGGTTGATTATTCAACCACTTATTTGTTGTTCCATTCAAGGTCAATGGGAATAACCTTAGTCGGATAGCCTCTTGAGGAACCCCATTCTCTTTGATTCCATCCGTCAACTCGTAAAATGACTTGACATGCGCATGTGCATCTTCACTCGTCATCCCATTGAATTGAACCACACTTTGAAGCATCAATATTGTGTCTGGCTTTATCTCATAATCATTGTTGGCTAACGTCGGATGAAAAATAGGTGATTGAACGTTGTCCACACTTGGCCTAGAGTAAAAACCCATTGTTCTTGGCCTTGGGGGTACTTGAGCTTGATGTTCCGCCATTGGTGGAGGTTAATGTCTTGTAACACTTCTTAGATTCCTAAGGGTTCTCTCGATTTTAGAACCAAGAGGTAATACTTCCAAGGAATCTCTTCTTCGCATACAACAATGCTACAAAACACAACCTCAACGACCCATGACGTACAAAAGTGGAAAATAAAAAACAAACAAAGACACAAATATGAAAACAATACGAAACGAAAGCACAAAAACAAAACGAAATAAACCAACAACACAAACACAACACGAAAAAGAAACAACTAAAGCAAGGTAAAAACTAACTAACAAATTAATGGTTTTCTACTAGTTACCAAGGGTCCCCGACAACGCCTCCAAAAAACTTGATCACTTGAATCTGTGCATGTTATTGTCAGTGGTTTGCACGTATCAACAACTATCTCATCCTAAGCCAAGTTTAACCTAGGATGGCATTGACGTATAGTGGTAATCAAGGTTGTATTCTACTCGGGTCCTGGTATCCTAGCCTACTTCCCACCTTGTTGTTAATTAGGTAATCGGTTTTTGAGGTTTTTAGCCTAAGATATGAGGAAATACTAGTCTAAAGGTTGATCAAAGCTAAAAGCAGGTACTTCGGGGAACTAATCCTCCCCCTGGCTTAGGGATACTATGCATGTATAGATACTTAGGGTTATCGAATGTGGTGAGTGAGCTCTTTTTGTGGGCCTTCGTCGTTATCCATGCGCCTCCGAGTACGCCTCCCCTAAACCCATGTTTCAGTCACCTCGATCTAGGCTATTGTATCTGGGGCTTTAAGCTTATGACTCATTTCAATGAACACTATCCACCGTCCACACCAAGATTTCATCCTGGGTTCCATCTAGGAAGGCTACCTATAGCAGGGGTTCGGTCCCCTCGACCTCTATAGGCCCCCATTCACATGTCTAACCTAAACTCGCCAGTTGGTGCATAACCGTCTAACCTTAGATCTCCTTAACCAGGGCGATAGCATAAAGTAGGCTAAGAGGGAAGATTAGGACGACTTACCCAAGAGTCATCATTTAGGAAAGAGTGACATTAAAAATCAACTAGACAAACACGTTCATTCATTCAAACCCTAAAATATCCATATATACATAATAAACCCTAAAACTAGGGTTTGGGGTTCAGAACCCCTAGTACCTTAGAGGACTACTCCATAAAGGAGGGAAGAAGATACATGGTAGAAATAGAAGAAGACTTGGAGTAGAAGATACCTCTTTGCTCCTAGCTCCTCTTTCTTCTCCTTCTCTTCTTCTCCCTTCAGCTTCTCTCTCTTCTCTCTCTATAGAACCAGAAATTTCACCCAAAATCGGCTCACTTGAAAAGGGGGAAAGGGGTCTACTATTTATAGGCAACTTGGATACGGGCAAGTTCGCGGTCTGAGGTAGGGAGATCACGTTCGTGATCTCAAAACTTTGTCATCGACGCCTTAAGGACGGGGGAGATTGCGGCCTGACTTCGCGGTCACGATCCTTGAGTCGCGGCCGTGATCTTCCTCGCGGGCATTTTGCACATTGGCCTTGATTCGACTGGTGAAAGTCTCTGCTCATCCATGGCTCCTTCCTCGCGAAGTTCACGCCGTGGGGCTCTAAGATCGCGGTCGCGATCTTTGGCTTCTAGGCCGCGATCTTCAGTGAGTCTTCACGACTGGAGATCCCTGTCGTGATCTTTGGCTTCTAGGCCACGATCTTTGATCTTTGCCCCTTTTCTACACTTGTGACCTTGTTTTGTACCTAATTTGCACATATTGACTAATACACCCTATAATCACATCAAAGTCAAATAGGAACGTAATAGGATTGTTTTTACAATGTTTAAACGCTTAAGTACATGAATTGGCACAAATAATACCCTAAAATGGAGGGTAAATAACACCGATTTTGGTGTTATCAATCAACTTTACATGAGTAGCTATCCTCTTGAGTATACTTGAATAAATTTGGGCATCAAACTTGGGGGTTCATAAAGATTATTGTGTACATGTCGTTATGGTAAAACTTCCCTTATGAACAGTACCAAGCGGTTCGCTAATTAGCAATTGTTTGGATATTTTTTATATGCAATAGTTGAGTTAACTTATACTATTAATTAATTGAACCAACCAACTATACGGGTCAGCCTTTGCCAGTGAGTATCTAGGGTCAACATTTAAGCCCTACTTGTATTTTTCTTTCTCTTGCATTTTTTTGGTAGAATGATTCCTCATTAACGCTAAGATGAGCAAGAGCATACTAGTGACTAGATAATAGATTGCCTATTCGCATAAGTCGCAAGATTAACCCAAAACCAAACATCATAATTCAGAGTTTGTCCTCACATGCTTGTCTAAAAAAAGCTAAACAAGGCCACCAAGTACAAAGAACAAGCACCTACCTATTGAGCTAATTAGATTGACTAATACTACCTTGAATTTGAAATGAAATCATGTACTTAAGATGGATATGTTTGTGGTTAGGAGTTTGCTGCCATGACTTGTCTAAGTAAATCTTACCATAAGTTTATACGGGGTTTTGGGTAGACGACAAAGTTAATTAGGTCCACCACATTGACAAATTAGATCACCACAAGGTTTATCATGTCAACCGCATTGTCGATTAGCTCAACCAAAAAGTCCTTTAGGTTGACCATTTCTCCTTCTGTAAGTATGTTAATGGTTAGTTATGAGCTTCATCCAATTTTTTGATAGGTAACTAGAACAAAAGCATTGAATACTGAAGAAGCATAGAGCATGAACATAATCAATGACAATAGAGAAGCATGAACATAATCATGAATATAAAATCAACACATGAAGTTTTTACTTAAAATTAATAACGTACAAAAAATATTCATACATAGCAAACCAAATCGCAACCTCTAAATGAGATGCATCAAGATTTAGGGTTAATCTAGTATTTTGATGATTCATGGTTTAGGGTGTTACTTTTTAGGAAGTTTAGGGGTCAAGATTTAGGGTTTCCCATTTAGGATTTGATGGGTTTTACTTCTTAGGTTTGTCAAAAGGTTAAGAGTTTTTGGTATTAAGTTTCATGGTTTAGGATTTTGGTGTTTAGGGTATCATTTTTAAGGTTTTAGTGCTCTAGGATTCACGAGATTAATGTTGTACAATTTAGGAGTTTAGAATGAAATGTTACACTTTGATAGATCTTTGATGTAAGCTGTGAATGAGTAATGTTTTTTACCTTCTTAGATATTATTAACTCAAATTTCAAATCATAAGTTTATATCGATGCTCATTCCATGTCATCATTTTTATGTCCATCCTTTGGCATTTGGACTTGTACGTTTTCATCCAAATTAACTACCAAGAGATTTGGCAAACCTCCAGAAAACTAATCACCCATATTTTAACAGTAGCAAAAATGGTCAATTCAATCGTCCTCTTCACACACCCAGAAGTTGGTGAGCTCATCATGTGCACATATAGGTTCCAATCTGCCAATTCCATTGCTCAACAACCAATCAAGCATTTTAATGTAGCGGAATTACGGATCTATCCAAGACCTCAACATTAGTACAAACCACGTTGTCTATCCGCAACGTGCTGATCATTTCTGTTGTTCTGGCTTTCCTTGAAACAAAATGTAGCATCTATGCATCCTTTCGTATTTGACCGATGCTTCCCCACGACCAAGATCAACTAGCCATGTTGTCCACTCTGTCAGATTAGAGACTTTTTTAGTTTCTAGCTGAATGAGATTCCGATAAAACCAGCTTCTTCTCTTTATATTTTCATGCGAAGCTGTGCTTCTTACTTGTAAAGTTGTAATAATCCAAAGGAACGGATCCTAGACAGCTCACGAGCATGTGGAAAAAGATCCGAGGGGTAGTAAGGTAAACTCAGTTTCAGCCATTGAATTATTGATGCTTGGTTAGTTCATTATTGATCTAATCTAATTAGCGGGTTAGCAATTACGACATATATACTCGAACAATACTCGAATAAGGGAAGGAAAAAAGAGTAAAGCTAGTTTGGTTCTTTGAGAAAGCAGCAGAACGAGAAGGTACGAAAATGGCTGCACTGGAGGACGTAGCCGCCGTTATGTTGAGAGTCATGCTGAGGAAAAGCATGTGCATGTTTGAAGGTATAGTATACACGTTAATGCAGGTCGCCTCATTGTTGGTCTCTACAATGAGATACTCAACCTCGCGAATTGCTCATCCTGCTGCTGCTGCTGCTGGTCCTGTCTTGGCCAGCTACTCTCCCATTTCGGCCGCGGTGGCACCTGTTCGACATTGATTGCTAGTCATGTAAGTCTCTCCGGCCCGTCTCATCTCTATTTTGCATGTTCCATCTACTTCTTTCGGGCTTTTTACGCATCATGAATTAATGAATGAGTGTTTGATTTAGTTTTGAAGCATGGAGAGAAGTGGAATCAAAGAGAATTGATTATTGAAGATAAATATGCGGGAAAGCACTGCAGTCTGTGTTCACCATCTGCAGTTGCCAATGTTAACAAAGTTGTTTTGCTGGGAGCCTCTGCATACCTCACCATATCATACTGTCTTGCCTGCATTTCAGTATACTTCATTCTGTGATGGTATTAGCTATACAAGGATTCTGTCCTCTTCAAGGACGATTCGATAGAATTTTGGATGTCCAGTTTCGTCAAATTTGAATCAAAAGTACCACAATCTTTTCAGTACATACACTCTGTCAATTGAGAAAATGTATCTGCTGCCGGATTGGGTTTGGATCTTCACAAGTTGTGCAGATTAGCTGTCTTCTTCGCTATTCTGATCATCTCTATCTTAGAGGGACAGCAAAACGTGAATCAACCCAATAAGCAAACTACTTACAGTGCCAGAGTGCCTACAAATGGGCTGCCAATAGGGAGCAGCGCAAAATGAAGCAAAAACTGGCGTAATGAGGTCGTCAAAAAGCCCTTGAGCCTTATGCTACAGAGAATGTCAACCCCAGATAGACCATTTGAGCAGTTCCCTGCAGCCAAATAGACTGAGAAAAGAAAAGGCAATGGGTAGCTCTCTAGCAAGGATTCGTTCTTAAGTTCGAGCTTCTGTCAAACAGCCACAACACCTGTTGGACGAGCATCTACTGCATCATGTTAAAGCGAATAATATCCCCTGTTGTCATCCGTTTTTCTTGACAAAATGAACTAATAGAGGCAGTCTGAAAGCAAGGCATATAGGAATTCAAGCACATTTAGCAATCAACCACTAGAAGCAACAATCGTCTGGTCGCCATAGAGAAGATCTATGTCAAGGTAGGATTTCTGGCACAGCATTTGAAGAGACAAGCAGAGATTTAAACGAAAGAGACAACGAAGTGTTGACTCATCCGGCAGAAAAAATATACCAACAGACCATAAACGAAGGGCCAACGAGGTGTTGACTCTTCCGTTATATTTTGAGCATAACACAACCTTAGTCTAGCAGAAGCTTATGTGCATTATAATATTTTAAAACACCATGGGATACTACAGGGCGGGAACACAGGATTATGACTTCACATCAGTGAATGTGACTCACTGTCCATCTTGTAAACCATCTTGATCCATCGGCCGAGTTTCCATTTTCCAGTCTTGCTCACAGCTTGGACATGTTGTAATCCATAACATCAACCAGGAAATCTGCATCCAATATAACAAGGTTGATAGTTAGGTCCTATGAGTTATGGGGTGTAGACGTCGTGGCTAACATATGCAACCAGTAATGTTCTTTTTAGCAGAAGGAAAAAAGATGCAGTATAAAGATGTACCTGCATCTTCTTTGGTGAAGCAGAGGGGTGGAGTGATTCTGAAGACATTTCCATAGAAACCACCTTTCCCGATCAAGACTCCCATTTCTAACGCAACACAAACCCATCAAAGAGAAGCAAATCAGTAACTTAAAATGTTAAAGCTCGTCCTATAAGTAGAGATTACAGCGAGATTTGTATTACAGACCTTTCATCTGGTCCAATACGTGCAGGGTTTCAGCATTTGCAGGAGTTTTCTTTTGGCGATCACTGACCAGTTCTACTCCGATCATCAGGCCTCTTCCCCTCACATCACCAATAACTACAAGACACAGGGAAAAAAAAGTAAACTCAACAATTCAATTCAACACAAATAAGATAGTCATTTTGAAATTGTAGAGTTATTGAACATGAATAAATAGTGTTATTACTTTCATATTTTTCCTTGAGTGCAGTCAGTCTATCTTTCATGTATGCTCCAACTGTAGAAGCATTTTCCCTGAGGTTATCTTTGTCAATCACTTTCAAAACGGCCAACCCTGCAGCGGTGCTAACTGGGTTCCCACCAAACGTATTGAAGTAACTGCGGCGAGTCAGCACTTCTGCAATCTCGGGTGTGGTCACCACAGCACCGAGGGGCATGCCGTTTCCGATGCCCTGAACGCAAAACAGATTTGAAAGACTTACATCAGAGTCTAAACTAACATGAATGAAACGATCCCTAATGGAGACAGAGAGGAGAGCAACAAAACCTTTGCCATTGTGACAATGTCAGGAACAACACCATGGGCCTCAAATCCCCACATGTTCCCAGTGCGTGCAAAACCAGACTGAACTTCATCAGCAATGCAAAGCCCTCCAGCTTTCCTAACGTTTTTGTAAACAGCAGGCAAGTAGCCAGGTGCTGCTTCAACGATTCCACCCACTCCCTATGATAACCATGCAAATAAAAATGTTATGGAACCATGTCGCAAACAAGGATAAAAGGGGCGTAAAGAGTAAATTAATGGTTAGTTTTAACCTGTATAGCTTCAGAAATGAATCCAGCAACGTGACCAGTGGTTGCAAAGTCAACGATATCCTGAACATCTTTTGCATACTTTTCTCCATCAGACCCAAATGGACCTCTGTATGGATCTGGGTTCAGCACATGGTGAATTCCGCTCTGTTGTCCATCCAAGAACATGTCAGGAGCATAACTAGTAACTCATTTTATTTTAACCACATCTACCTGTAGGGTTAAACTTCAATTCAAGATTGACGTGCAATCTAACCTTATCAAAGGTTAACAAGCAAACTAATTTATCAGTAGAAAACCCGGCGGGAAATTGGTTAAAAAGGAAAGAACGATGATTTTAAGACTCGAAGAATTCCAAAGCAGTAGGCCCCATTTGTCTGCAAGACGGAAGGCCAAAAGGAGTAGAACTATTCCTCTTATTAAACAAATAATTCTTCCCTTTGGCCTAAAAGATGCATTTCAAGAACCCTTTTAAAAAAATTTCTGGCTAGGATGCATTTCACTAATCTACCAGCCTTTCAGTGTTATCCCTATCCAGATACACACCACGTCATCTGATTCCAGTGTACAGTACAACACGTTTCAGTTCCCCTAGGCTTAAACTTGATTAAATCCACAGTTTTATGCTCATTCCCTTCATCCCTTGTGAGTATTAATAAATAAATTATACGATTTAATTGGAGTTTGGGTTCCCTGTACCATTTTAAACGCGAAGAAGAATTTTTCCTAATTGATTTAAGCGTATTTTAAAGCCTAACTGAATGAGGCTGGACTCACTCCGCTTGAACTTCATCAAGCAATTCATAAACATAGATTAAATCATATTGCATAATGATTATTTAATTAGAGTTAGGATTCTTTAATCTAATACGATTCATCAATCCCAGCAAACCCATAAGAACAGAGAATTTGCAGGGGTACCTGAACGACGCTGAACTTCCAGCTGCGCTGGCCGGTGGCGCCCATCGTTCCAGCAGCATTACCATGGTACGAGTTCCTCACAGAGATCATATCTTGACATCCGGTGTACAGCCTCGCCATCATCATTGCGAGCTCGTTCGCTTCCGTTCCGGAGTTGGTGAAGAACGCCACCTGAAAATTGTCATTGGAACATCGATTAAAAAACTGCAAAACGGCAAAAAGGGAAAACAAGAAAGGATGTTCGTGATGTGTGTACCTTAAGATTGCCAGGCATCTTGGAGGCCAAAGCCTCTGCAAAATCAGCGACGGCATGATTAAGATACAGGATCGTTGGATGCTGGATGCGCTTCACTTGGCTAACGATCGCATCCACCACATCAGGATGACAGTGGCCGCAGTTCACCGTCGCGATTCCTCCGAATCCGTCCAAATACCGGCGACCTCCTTCGTCGAACAAATACTGCATCCTCCCTTCGACGATGTTCACCTGCCGACATTCCAGAATATTCCCCGGCACAGGTCAAAATCAAACGAAGACGCTCTGACGCACTCCGATTAATTATTATTATTATTATTATTATTATTATTGTTTCATTTAATTACGAAATCAGTCAAAACAGCGTTCGTCGCTTTCTAACCCAATTATCAGCAAAAACACAAATAAACAGAAATCCAGAAAGAGAGATTGGACTCACTGGCTTCTTGTACAGATAGAACATGGAAGGGCTGAGAAACTGCCTGCGTTTGGCCAAGATCTCGTCGACGGAAGGACCGGTGTACGGCGCCGGCGAGTAATCGAACGGCGGCATCTTCGGGAGGACGTCATTTGCAATTTCTTTCTCACGAGCAGCCTGAGCGAAATAGCGGGTCTGTTTTTGTTGTTGTTGTTGCGACCGGAGAAGAGATTGGGCTCTTCTTCTTCCTCCTTCCAGTAATCCACTCCTCGCGACAAATCTCTGCATCTCGCCGCCGTGCGATTGTATTCAGGGAACGCACGACGTTTCCGCAAATTGTTTTGGGGAGGGGAATTAGAGAAAGGAAGAGGAGAAGGCGGAGCGAAATGGGGAGAGGGGAGGAAGCGGAGGGAGAGTGATGGGCCGATTAGGAATTGCCCTGGATCCATAGGCCTTATATAGGGGATGAACGAGTCGACACCAGTACGTATTGTGTGTTAAACTTGAACTTAAACCGTAAATTAGCCGAATTTTCTCAATAATGGAATGATATGATATGATTGCCATTAGAAAATGATAATGGACTTCAGCTTTTAACAAATTTCCATTGATTTCTTTCTACATCAAAATTAACGTTACGTACCTAAACAGAGATAATTATATTTTCCAAAAGAAAGGGTTCAGATTATTACTTTTGTCAAAAAAAAAAAAAAGTTCAGATTATTACTGATATTGTTAGAAAGCTGAACAACTAGTTTCTCATTTTCATAAATAATAGTTCAGATAATGATAATGAATATAATTATATATAATATTAGAATCTAGATTCTACTCATTATGATTTATGATATAGTATTGTTTTGATTAGTTCAATATTTTGATAGTGTTTTTTTAGTATATATATATATATATATAGGTGTCTTCTACGATACCCCGGGTGAAATCCGGAGTACCGCATACCTTGAGTATAAAAAAGCTATCTAGACCCCGAATTAGCAGGTTTTTTGGGCATGATACTATACTCTAACCCTTAATGAGTGAACCCTAGGTCATAATTATCTAAATCATAAACTATAGACCGTAAGATGGTGCATTGATTTTTTTGCCTATATTTGGATGAATCATAACCGTCGATTATTGTTTTCAATTAAATTGATCTTGGGGTATAAGATTTAGAGATTAAGACCTAGATTTTGATCTTTAAGGGTTAGAGTATAGTATCATGTCCGAAAGATCAGTCAATTCAAGTTCTAGATAGCGTTTTCTTACTCAAGGTATGTGGTACCCCGGATTTCACCCTGGGTACCGTAGAACTCCCCATATATATATATGATACACCATATTTATTTAGGATATCATAAAATTCTGTATACGCCTATTTTTGGCCCGACTTGTTTTTATACTTTAAAACGTATAATTAGACCAAACACTTCTAAAAATTTAATTATTAAAAATTCAAAAACTGTTTTTAATAAAATATTAGGAGAAATTTTGCTAAAAACTGTTTTGAAAATACGAGATTGTCCTTACTAGTTTTCTAATACATAATTCTCATTCGTTTGTATAATTTTAGAAATAAAAATAAATTATATTGTAATATTATTTATTATAAAAAGCTAACCATATTCATTTTGATTTGGCTACTTTTAAATTTGTATTCGTATTTTATATTAGAAATTATTTTTAGACCTTTTACATAACTGATAATATTAAAAAGTATTTTTGATAGTTATTCAATCGGGTTTTTTTAGTACTTTATAAACTCAAAACTTTTTTTTTTAAGTACTTTAAAAAATTTAGCCAAAAATTGCTTTTTGCAGAATTAGCCGAATTAGCCTATAGACTGCGAGGTAACTAAAAAGATTACAAGATCCTGGAGGTGTACTTTGTATCTGGTGCTTTGGTCATGTTTTAGAAGCGTGTGGGAAGAATCAGTTGTTTATCTATGCCGATCGACTGGTGCCGGAATGCGGCTAAGTCATTGATTCTGGACAGAATCTAATTAATGGGTTTCCTTCTTCTAACGTGAATTCAATGGTAACTTTCCTCGAATCCGGCTTCCACTCCGTAAATGGCAAGAGTGGTTTTGGAGCGTTATTTAAATTTTAGTTATATACTTATATTTGTATTACAAAAGAAAATAGTTATATTTTGGGAAATGGAATCGGACGGAAGCGGTCTACCTCCTCCAACGAGCAGGTAGGGATGGCAAAGGGTTTATCAAACCCAAACCCAAACTCATGGGTTTATCAGTCAAAAAAACTCGGGGTAAAATCCATTGGGTTTGAAAACTCAAACCCAACCCAACCGGCTACGTATCCGCGGGTTCATAGGTAACCATGAGTTTTTGTCGTAAAAAATTTACAATAACAAGTTCCTATCAAAATTAAAGTCAAATATCAATCTCTCAATACAACTTATCCATATATAAAACACCATTCTAGAAAATTCAAGCAAATCACAAATTAACTATACAAATTGTTCAACACAAATCTAGAAAACTCAAGAAAATTGAAGCAAATCACAAGTTATCCACAAATAACGTGATTAATTGAAAGATTCTTCCTCCTTGTCAATTAAGTTTCTTCACTCTCCACTCAATAACATCAAATTCATTCTACACAATTAGAAAGAAAAAAATAGACATGTCTCCCCAAACATAAATAAGATTAGTTGTTTAGAATATTAAATATACCGAGAAAATTAATTATATTGGTGTGGGCAGGTACCAATGGGGCGGGTTTACCTAAACCCTAACCCAACCTAACGCGTCGAATAGTGAAAGGGTTTAAACCCGAACCCGCCCCAAAATCCGTCAACACGGGTTTTACCCGAGTTGACCGGGTTGGGTCAGGTGGGTACCCATGGGTTCGGGTTTTGTTGCCATCCCTACAAGCCGGTGTAAGTTGAAGGTAAGTGTGTCACAGGTCGACTCATTGCCAGAACTTTTGGTGTTCAAACTGTGTGGTTGCCATGGTAACCGTTTTAATCGGTAGTATTTGGATAATTTGGTTTGGTTAATTTGAATAACTGGTTTGGTTTGGTCAAAAAATTTAGCTTGTTTGGCTTAGGTGGTTTGGTTTGGTTTCAGACACTCGTAACCAATCAAACCAAATTAACCAGTTAAGTAATTAGCTATATATCAAATATATTATATATACATACTTAATACTTTGTACAACCACTCAAGAATCAAATGTAAGATAATTGTATTAGTTACATGTATTTATGTTAAGGGTTAACTATAATTTTGTGTTGGTTGTTATGTGTTATTCATTATATAAATTACAAATTGTTGCACTAATCGGAAATGTTTCTCATTTAATGATAATGAGATGGTATATTGGTTATTTTGATTAACCAATTAACCAAACCGATTAAACTTTAGTTTGGTTAATTTGGTTGTTGTTTTTGTTTGGACGGTTTGGTTATGATATTGTATTCCACGGTTAATAGAATTTAAACTTATTTGGTTTGGTAATTACCATGGTAACCATTTGAACAGCCCTAGCCAGAAGCGGTAGACCCATTGCCTCAAGTGGTAGACAGCTTGGTGAAAGTGGTAAACAATTTTCTTGAAAAGTGGTCGATCACTTGGTGGAAAATTTCGACCACTTAAAGGTAATTGTATTATCAGGTCGGCCCATTTCCGAAAGTGGTAGATCGGTTGGCTCAAGTGGTAGACCACTTGGTGGAAGAGGTCGACCATTTTCTTGGAAATTGGTCGACCACTTGGTGGGAGAGGTCGATCACTTGAAGGCAAGTGTGTCATTAGGTCGACTCATTTATGAAAGTGGTAGACCGATTGACTCCATTTAGTAGAAGATGTCGATCAATTTCTTGGAAACTGGAAAGTGATCGACCACTTAATAGAATAAACCGACCAATTTTTCCAAGTTACGTTGACTTGCAAGTCACCAAGCATACCCTAACCCGCTAGTGCTAGCAGAAAATAGTATCACCAACCAATACCAATAAAATTAGTCCAAGTATGTAGGACTTTCAAAATTGGGTACATGGGGCGGAATTGATTGTTCATAGAGTTCATGGTTCAGTTTTACATGAACAAAAAAGCAAAGGGATGATCCGTTATGCATCAGTCGGAACATGCGATACAACATGTAGATTTCTCTAATTTTGATGTAATTTTGTTTTCAAGATGAACTTTAAAATTGATTGAAGAAACTTCAAATTCAACATTAAATTGCAATAGAATTTTATCCAGTTACATTCAATTCGCACAAATAAATTTGAAACTTATATATTTTTATATCTAAATGATTGATATCGTGACAACTTACTTCTTCAATCCGTTTTCTTATTTTTGAAACTGACGATCGGGATTCAAAAACGGTAGTTTTGGAACAAAAAGAAATTCGCATGCAATTACTACCCCTTAAAACATGATTTTCCATATCCCTCTCTATGGGTGGGCAACGGCCCGGTTCGGATCAGATCAAACTCCGAAGGATCGCGGTCCAATAGTGAAAGATATTTTAGGACTAAGGATTGGATCAGCAGTGCATTCGGTCCGCTTTGGTCTGATCCAAATGTCAATTCGGTCGATTTTTCTTTAATGCTTATAAAATTCACGAGATGAGAAATCATATCATATTATATTCGATTCGGTGTGGTCCGGTCTGATCCAAATATCGATTTGGTCAAATGAGGTCCGATACGGACCAACCCATTGCCACCCCTATCCCTCTCTCCTCAAACCCTAAAGCATATTCTTCATCTTTCTCTCTTCCTCTTCCTCCAAGGTGAGTCCGAGAGATCGCTTCCCCTTCATCATTTAACGACTCTCATCCTTCCATGTTGTCGCCATCATCCCCTTCCTCCTGTCGTCATTGTCACTCCCTCTTGTCGCTACTCTCTCCCTCTTGTTGGCGCTGCACTCCTCGCTTGCAGACCTGCCTCCACCGACCCTCCCTCCAACACGACGTTGGCCTCACCTCCTCAACGACAGATATCTCTATGTCTCTCTCTCTCCCAAGGTCTCTCTCTTCCAAACTAGATACGATATCTGTTCTGTTGGGATGAATAGCTTTGAAAAGCTATAAATGAAATTCCTAATTAATTATCCAGTATTTTCCCATAATACATAAATAAGATGGATAATTAATAAAAGGAATATTATGGAGATAATTAGGAATAATTATCTTAATAGATTATATTTTAATTATGGGAGTAATTATCTCCCTAATTAAAATATGACTTATTCCCAAAGAAAGAGGGAATATTCTGGGTTTTCTGCTCCTATAAATAGGAGACGCCCCATACCCTCTAAACACACCTCAGAGAGCAGAAACACGAGATAGAGAGTGAGTTCATAGAGCTCCGGTTTTCGCACAAAACCGATGAGCAACAAACTAAGAGTGGCTGTTTTATCCTGGAGGCGACCGGCTGATAGTCTGCCGTGCGCAACGAAGGCAGTGCCGCGAACGTCTTAAAGAGAGCGACCTAGTCCGCGACTCAGCCAGATCGGTAACCCTAATTTTTCTGTTCGATTTCTAACAATTTTAAGACGCTCGGTTGCTGTCATGA